GTTGTTGTGGTGAGTTAGGTGTCTGGTGGAGTGGAGTTGATCGACCACGCCAAGCCTTTGACAATCGCGTTGTCTGTGTGTATGACCCAGCATCGTGCTTTGGCATGGCTAACGGCGCCGTGGTGTCGGAGAAGCAAGTTCATCGTTTGCTCCGCGCCGCCGCTAGTAAATTTGGCGCCTTGACCCCAGGCAAGTAGGTTGATTATGAGTGAAGGTGTGTTTTTTGTTGCGAGGTTCCAAGTGTTGTGGAGAATGCGGGCATGTTCGGCGTTGTCATGTTGTGGCTGTTGTGTGATGCGCGCGGCCTGGGCAAAGAACCCAGGGTTGTTGGGGAAGTGGAGGGTGCTGGGCAGGAAACGGCCCTGTTGGAGGATGTTGGTGATGTTGCCGAGAGGGCCTGTGTGGCCGGCGTTGATGTGGACCATTTCTGGTGTGGTGGAAGTCGCACGTGTCGCTGGTGGTGGGAAACTCCGAGTTGCTTTTTGCACAAGGCTGGGGATGGTAACGCAATGGTATTGATAAATGTCGTGGGTGTTGGCAGTGTCGTTCCATTTGATGTGAGTGATTTGTCTGAAATCTGAGATGTCTTTGTAAGTAAGGCCGCTGTCAGGTAACAGGCTGGCGACATAAGTGTGTTGGGGTTTGTTAGGTGCCTCAAGCTGATCAGCATGATAATCAAGCCAGAGTTCCAGTTGTTCTTGTGGGGTGCGTTGTTGGAACTGTGGGGATGGTCGCCATGGTTTGGTAGGCCTGCGAAGAGCTGGAATGTTGGGATAGCTGGTTTGTGATTGATTGGTGACAGCATCTTGTTGTAGTGAGTCGTTGTTGGGGAGAAGTGAAATGGGTTGTCTGGAGCGTGGCTGGCTGTAGGAGTATGAGGAGTATGTTGAGGAAGGTGATCGCGAGCGGTGGTGTGTCGCGATGAATGGTGCCTGTGGGTGGCGCTGTGCTGCGTTGTGGTGTGCGTTGTGCGGTGGCGGCAAGGGCGTCTGCCTCTAGTGTGATGCCGGTGGCGACGGCGATGGTGTCGGCGATGGCCGCGGCCACGGTGACGGGAGCGTTGGGTGGTGGAGGTGGTTGTGGTGCTGAGGTAAGTGGGTGAGCAGGTGGCGGATCTGAGATGCGTGTATCAGATTGAATTGAACCTGCTGGAGTAGAAGGTGGAGGTGTGTTCGATAGAGGTAGAGGAGTTGAAGAGGTTTGGTCGGCGGTTGTGATAGTGCGGTCTGCTTGTGCTGAAGGCGCTGTAGAGGCTGGTGATTGGAGACCAGCAGTGGCTGCAGTGGGAGGCGTCGGTGCGGCTGCAACGGGTGAAGGGTCAGGGGGGCCGAGGGAATCGGGCCTGGCTGAACCTGGCCTGGTGGAGCATGACCCTGTTGGGTGACTGGCGGAAAGACCGAAAAGGGTTGCCAGACTCCCTGGCTGTAGTCCCATTGCGTTGGTGCTGGCTGGCATGCTTGCTGTGGGGCTGGTTGAGTGTGCGCAGCTGGTGCTGGTTGTGGGGGAATCATGGTGGGGGACTGTGATGGTGGAGGTTCCTGCGGAGGTAGTGAATAGGGAAATGGAATGGTGTGATGATGTGGTAGCTGAGGCAAAAGCTGTGGTTGGATTGGAAATGTCGGTGCTGTTGTAGGTGGTGGTTGATGTGTCAAGTATGGATATGGCCACGGGTATTGCGTTGGGACTGTGTTCGTAGTAGCAGCAGTCTCCGCCAAATGGCGCCCGCGCAGCGCGATAGCAGCAAATGAAAGTTGAAAAGGTCTGAAAAAGTGAGTGTGAAATGGCGTGAAGTGAAACGCTGTAAGTAGTGAGTCCAATGTGTGGAAAATTCTGAGGTGATAGATTGACTGTGAAGCGACTGTACACACTTGAAACTCAAAAGTCGGCTGCGTATCGAAAGGAAACATGCACTGAAGTGACATGCTGAATGTTCAGTACGTTGGGAGGACAATCGCCGTATTAGCCCGGCGGCTCAAAAGGCAGTGAATTCAAGGTTGACGAAAGCAGTTAGGAGAATCCAAGGTTTGGTGAAAACGATCAAGGCTGTTACACGATTTCCGGCATGAATACGGCGCCTCCTTGCGGAGGATCACACCCAGCACCCAAGTGGGACGGCTGAGCGGTTCACACTCTGACATTGGTTTGCTGTTAATTCAATTCCCACGTTGAGAAGGAAGGTGAGGGAAAGGCAAGGCGAAAGGTCCAAAGATTTGAAGATGTTTGAACAAATGGTTTTCGCGCATTTGCAAGTCACGAGAACAGCGGTGTCGAGCAATCAGCGCACCTGCACATCTGCGGTGGGAAAAGGTTTTGGGGTCTATCATGTAAGGACCATGGAATCAAACAAGGAAAGATTGGAGTCACAGCTTGGTCAAAGGTTGTAGCAGGTACACATCAGGACGTCTCCCGATGCATCACCAGAGAATGTGGACGTCTTCGTTGGCAGTGATTCCACAAACTCTGTCACTGCCCCCTGCTGTGGTGTCAGAACAAAGCACAGGACCCTTTGGAACAGGGGTTGACGCACACACACACACACCACGCCGATATCGGCGCTCAAGTGAGGTACTAGCCACATAACAAGCCTTAGAAAGAAAGACAAAGAAAAGAGCAAATGAAGAGGGGATTGCCGTTACTGGCGCTCAAGTAAAGCCGTAATCGGCGCTCCTTTGACTGACAGGCACCTGGAACCTGAAGAAAGGCCTCAAGAAAACGAAAAGCAACAGCAGGAAAGAAAAATCAAACAGACCAAAAGAGAAAAACCCTTCACGTGGTTTCACTCTCCTCACAACGCCTATGACTACGTAGCCGAATGTGAGAATCCGTTCTGGAAATTGATCACAGTGAGCCCTGCGGCATTCAATCAGCTGTCTCGTGCAAAACCGTGAGCCAGTGAGATTCCGAGAGAAGTTCACGAGAGAAAGACGAAGCGATCAGTGGGGGTCCCCCAGTATCTGGGTCTATGCGCCCCTCGGAGGGGGATCACACCACAGCCCGCAGTGGGACTCTGTGGCGACACACACTTAGCTTGGGGCTCGCAAGAGCTAAGTCGGTTGACGAAGTTCCAGAAACTTGTTACTGACTACCTAGCACTCTAGTTACTGAATACCTAGCCCTTGACTTGCAGAACGGTAAGGTGAAAAGGTCCGCGACAACTGAAGTGTTTCAACATCTGCGTGTTTCATGGTGCAAGTTCGAAGTTCCAGACACTAGTTACTGACTAGCTAGCACTCTAGTTACTGAATACCTAGCCCTTGACTTGCAGAACGGTAAGGTGAAAAGGTCCGCGACAACTGAAATGTTTCAACATCTGCATGTTTCATGGTTATGGTTGAGCAGTTTTAAAAGTGGAGGTGCGTTTACACGGGTCCCAGAGGTCTTCGTTGGCCACCGCTCCTTTGGGCCCCCGGTGGCCCCCTGCTGCTAAAAATTGGTTTTAAATATTTGACAATGTGTGCAGCCTTAGAAACAGGCTTTGACACACACACACACACGCTTGGCTCCTGCACTTGCAAAAGTAAATCTGGGTAGCATTGGGAGTCGGGCAACTGCAGAATTATTTGAGATGTATTCTTGAAACATGGAATTAAGCAAGCCCCAAAGATCAGGGTGCACCGGGGGCGACGGCTTACTCCACCCTGTGCAAACAGATTTGTCTGAAAGAACAACCTTTGCAACACCCTGTGTTAACGACAAAAGTGTAAGCAAACCTGCCAAATGCGCTCGCAAAGGTTTCTGCTGCCTGTCACAGAATCTATGCAACATGGACTGGGATGTGACAAGTCAAAGGCAGCGATTGCATAGCAGGCTATTTGGGCTCTGGAGTCGGAAATCTGCGTGCGGCTTGCACTGATCACGCAGACCACTTCAGGCCCAACACTTAAGGCGTCCAATTGCTCCCAACACCCATTTCCCTGGACAGCAACCTTCTCACCACGCGTTTGGGGGGGAAACATGGTGCAAGGCACAATGGCGCGAACCCAAAAGCTTTGTTGTCTTAGACATTACCTTGTCAAGAACCTTTCTCAATATTCAAGCTCACAGCGCCCTTGAGAAGGACATTGGAAATAGCCAGCCACACGACTCCCTTAGCGAAACAGCAGGTTTGTTGCTTAAAACAGCAAGGTGGAGGTACCAAAACGAAAACACGACCCATTTGGCGGACAATGCCCTGACAAGACATGTCACAAATGCGACCGGACAAGGTGTGGAGCTTGACAAGGCGGACGAGGCCTGGAGACGGCAGGGGAACCCATCAAGGCAAGACAGTGCGACAAACCTAGCAGACAAGGCCCGCTTGGACAAGGCGCAAGGCAAGACGGAAGTGCGACACACCTACCTGGCAATGGGAACCGTAGCAGCTGTGTAGGGAAAAATTTATTCCCAAGGCTTTTTATTAGACCGTCAAACATGTCTTATGGCGTTCTTTGTAGCAGCATGCGGAACTATCTTCTTGCACATCCTCATTAAGCTGCGCCTCTTGATGGACCAATTTGACGGCTTGACTTTTTTGACAAACTCCCACAAAACCAATGCTTCCAGAAAACTCCTGTCAACCAACAGACACGGCAGCCCATGGCCTTTCCATGAGTTGCCAAAAAACAATCTGAAAGAAAGGCACGATGAAGCCTGCCACACGAACAAAGTGAAACCCAGAAACTAAAATAAGCAGAATTGAAGCCCAGCAACATCACAGAATCAGAACAGAAGCTAGATATGTGCAGAATGGACACCAGAAGGCGAACAAAGAAAATTGATGACGCAAAACGACAATGCGGGACCTGAAACCTGCATTTCCCGCTGGCGTGATCAAGTGGCAGTTTTTGCCCATCCGTTTCGTAAACCTGATGTCAAGATAAAAAGAAATGCATCCCGTTCTTGAGCCAAACTCGCAACGTGTTGCGACCAATGCTGGAGGGTGTGTAGCAGGTGCACAGATCAAGCGTATTTGTGTAGAAGATTTACTGTGGCACAGCTGTGCAAGACTTGTGAGCTTGAAGGATCTATCAGCGGATGTTTCTGAATTCCTAAACCTGCCTGCGGACGCATTGCTTGCGGCAACAGTGTCACGCATCGAGGATTATGGTATTTTTGTGATGGTTCGTCCTCCCAGTGGTGCTGTCCCAGTACAAGGTGTGGGTACGAGCTGTCGCTTTGTCGCTGCTGAAGCAGGATAAACATGTGTTGTTTTTCTTAGGCTTCCTACCAACTACACTACACTCATAGAGAGCTAAACTTGAAGAGCTGTTTGCCCCTGAGGCTTCGTACACGTCTCCGAGATGAAAGAAGGTTTCGTAGAGCATCCTGCCAATGAGGTGGAGATCGGACAGGAGTTGACAGTGAGCCTCCTACGCGTGGATCGCAAATTTGGAAGGTTACGACTTTCGATGAAGTTGCCTGAAGTGGAGGGTTACTGAGGAGTTGGGTACGTAGATGTGCGAATGCTCAAGCATGTTATTGCTTTGACAAGGCACAAAATTATGTGCTCCTTTCTTGTCTCTTTCCCGTCTGATTCTGCAATTTAGATTTGCAAACATAGCCTAAGCCTAACAGCACTGTGATTGATTCTCTCTTGCTCGGCTGTGGTGCAGCCCTTGTCTCAAGAGGTAGGCTTGGCAGTGATTGATGTGCACTTGTGAGAGCATTTGCTATCGAATCTTATCGAATCTTATAATTACAGAGATTTTGAGCCTGTTTGCAATTATCGTTATTCATGCAAAACAAACACAAACGAGTCCTTCCTACTAGCTTAAAGTTGTATCGCCATGAGTCCGTGGATGCGATTACGCAGCTGCAATGGCACGCTTCGTAGCCTTCGCATCCATGGAATTCCTGGAAGGTTTCTTCAACTGCGGATGGTGGCGGAAGCTCCACAGCGCGCAGGGGAGCACAAGGACTCTGTGCACAACATTGGTGCGGGGCCCGGTGCCAAAGACATGGACCTAGCAGCATGGTCGAAGCTGAAGAATTCTGACGTCGGTGCGCCACTCTCATGGCGTCTTACAGAGATCGGTGCTTGGAGGCCTAATCCGCAGCCGAAGTTTGAGGTGGAGACTGTCCCAGGTTTGTCCCCAGGCGTCCCAGCGGCAGTTGTACATGGTGTCCTCTCCGAGAAGGAATGCCAAGAGCTTATCGCTGCCTTTCCTTCTGGTGGCAAAGGCTACATGCCCGGCCAGCGTGTTGCTGAGCTGTACCGCGATCGAAGGGTGAAATCACGTAGCTTGGTGAGGGATGAGTTGCTGGCAAAGATCCTCCAAGAGCGGCTACAATCAGTCTTGCCCCACAATCTTGATGGTGGACGCTTGTTTGGTGTCAATCCCAACTTCCGCTTCGTTCACTACGACACTGGGGGTCGGCACTCAACGCATATTGATGGCAGGGAGCCGGTCATGCCTGAACAGGATGAAGCTGGAGACGGCTGGGTGCAGTCACGCATGACACTACAAATCTACCTCAACAGCCACGGCAAGGATTTTCGTGGAGGCGGGGTTGGAAGCCCCAAAGACGACACCATCCTTTCCATTCCAGAATCAAGAAGTCCTTCTTTTCTCTCTCACATGTGTCCGTCGTTCCCTTTTAGTCTGTATTCGCAGGAGCCTCATGGCATGTGTGGGGTGTAGGACAATGGCACTAGTGAAACTTCTACAGCAAATATGGCATTCCGTACTCGCTCACCCGAATCTTGGCAGATCAGCAACAACAACCATGTTAACGTGTAAAAGTTGATTGCAGAAAGAAGCGTGTGTAAACAGAATGGAATCAGGAAGTGCTCAATGTCGGGCACCTTGCCATCCATATTTTTTGATTCTTTTTGGCATGGGCTTTCACCCTTGTAGAAGCTCAGATGTGAGAGTATGAGTTCGGGCTTTGCAGGATGTGTTAATTTCATTGCTGGCCTCAAAAACAAATTTGCAGGTGAGTTTGCCATCGTGGACGCAGATGACAGCAGCGAAGATGGTCGAGTCAAACACTTGATCAAACCTCAAGCAGGCGACGTCGTCTTGTTCTATCAAGAAAGATTGAACCCACCATCAGAGTATCCCCCCTACGAGCTACAGCATCAAGCAAATGACGTGACTGAAGGAGAGAAATACGCTTGTCGCACAATGGTGGATTACATTTTTCCTGATCAACAAACCGCCCACCTTAGCAATGTCAAGGATGACTACATGTCTCGGAGATCTGTCTTGGCCATAGGCAATACCATCATGGACACAATGTTGACAGTGAGCCACATTCCAGTAGATGAAAAAATCAGTGTGAAGACAAAGAAGACCTATGTCGGAGGACAAGGTGCAAATGCTGCCCAGGCTCTAGCGCTTCTGGGTGCAAATGTGTCATTCATGACTCGTTTAGGAGATGACCCCGAGGGCCATACCGCCATGAATGCCTACGAAAAGTTGGGAATGGACTTAACTCACAAGGTAGTTGTTCCTGGAGCTCACACCAGTGTTGCAGCTGTCCTTGTTGCGACTGACAAGGCACATCATCGTAGCTGTTTGATCTACGATGATCCCAAGCTGCTGGGCTCACCTACCTCTGAGCCCGTGGATGCGGCTCTCCATCGCCTCAGCTCGGGGCACTTTGATGCGGTTTACACAGATGGGTGGCAGATAGACTTGGCTCTGCCGATAGCACGAGCTGCCAAGAAGCTCTCTGTCCCCATTGTAGCAGATATCGAAGCTCTGACAGCGGAAACACGTGAATTGGCAGATTTGGCCACTGTACTAATCGCAGGTGCCTCAGTGATAAAGGCCTTGGCAGGTCAGGATGATGTGAGACACGCAGTACTGAGCCTTGTGAATCGGTGTCCAGGTCGTGTGGTTGTCGCCACTGAAGGTGAGGGAGGCTCGTATGGTGCTGCCCACGGTGAGGAGGTGATCTATGTTCCTGCACTGGAGGTGGATGTGCAGGATACTACTGGGGCAGGTGATTCATACCATGCTGGCTACATGATGGCGTTCTTGAAAGGACGGAGTGTGGCTGACTGCATGTCTTTTGCCACCAAAGTGGCAGCGGCCAAATGCGAGACTCCAGGCTCCTCTTTAACCCGTGATGCATTAGAAAGATTCGGCCTGTTGGATGGGAAGCAGCTTGCTGCCATTCCTTGACGTTCACAGAAAGTAGTTCACCAACAGGTTGAGCAGTGACACATGTTTGCAACATGTTTGTACAGTGCTATTTTGCTGTAAAGTTTCAGTGTCAGAACATTGTGGTTGTGGCTCACTTGCTCTTAGACACAGACTTGCAAGCCATTTCCACACTGGTGGGCAGAAATAACCACTTGTTCCGAGCGGCGCTGCGAAAACAGTTGCAATAGCTTCCGTGCTTTTGGGCACTTAATGCCTTTTGTGCAACCATGCTGTGTGACACCTTTAATGAAGGCATTGCATGTGTGACATCGCATGCTGCAAGTATCGAGGCAAGCAAGCTTCAATCCAAGGTCCAAGGGAAGTCTTACTTGGAGGCTTTTTCATCACTTCTAGAAAAGAACACCGCTTGATGTTCAAGCCCAGTTCTCTTTCAGTACCAGGGAGCTTCTTGGCAGAGCAGAGCAGGAAAGGAACACGGAATTCGCGAAAGAGCTTTCACACCAAAACAATACTGAAGCAATCCCTTTGCAGCCAGGGGAAGTTTGCCCAATCTGTCCTGTGCAGCTTCTTTTAATGCTCAAATTTTGGGTCCATTTTGAGGCCGTTTTGTTTGCCTCATGCGACACAGCCTCGGGCCGTTGATGTCTCCGGTGTTGTTGATGTTAATACTGGCAGCGGGTTTGGCCACCGCACAACCATCATACTATGATGCAGGTGTCTCTGCATGTGTACCTGGAGCCGGTTATGACCATTTCCCGTTTCTTGCGACATTATTGTGGCGTGGGAATGCATTCTATAGTGTAATATAATGAAGTTGATTTTGAGCAAACCAAGTGGGTCATTGAGTCATTGGGCCATGAGATGCAACAAGGCCGTTTCCCTCATTTTACACTTGAAAAGGCGCAGGGACACTTGACTCTGCACATGTTCATGTGCATATCCACAGATAGCCGAGGTACCTTCCACTCATAGTGATTATTTAATGGGACCGTATTGTGATCCTGCGACTTCTGGTGACCGACTATTGGCTCCGTATCAATTCCGCCCCTGGTTTTACTCTTTATTGGGTCAAGTTATATCCACATTTGGGATGATTTACCGGACAGACTTCGAACAGCAATGCAGCAGAAGACAAGATTGCATTGCAATCCCTTTGGTAATGAAGATGGATACTGATGTACACACTTAGACTCATAGTTCCGGTGAAGGTAATGTCCAGTGGATTTCAGTTACGCAGTTCCCTTGACTGGTTAATTCGTGCAAACGGCAAGAACGCTGGGTCCGTCAAATTGTAGATGTTTGAAGAAATGCTATGGTGAAGCGTCGGCATACATGAAATGCTGAAGCAGCAGCGCACCAGCAGTTTACAGGGAAAAGTCGGGTAACAGCTTGTCAACACCACAAATCGCAGGTACGTCACTGGACGTCTCCAGTGATACCGCAGGGAGCTTTGTTAAGTGGAGCTTTGCAGGCCTGCTCCACTCCCCTGCTGGAAGAGATACATTTGGTAAACAGAAAGGAACCCTTGGGGACGGGGTGTGGCACAGACACACACATGGCCGCAGGGCGGACTGGCTCTGAAGAGGTAACACTGCAGTAGACAGCTTGGGAAATACTTAGGTTCTAGATTTTACTTAACCCTTGACCAAAAGGGGGTTACGCACCTAACAAGCCTTTAGAGAAGAGTCAGACCTAGAAAGAGAAGCAAACAGGCAGGAGAGAAAGAAACGAAGCCGAGGGGTAGAGCAACAAAACAAGCCTGAAAAGATACCTAACAAACGAAGAAAGCCGCAAGAGAGAAAAAGGGAGGGGGTGGGGTGGGGTAAAAAATTGTGAATTCCATGCAACTAAAGGTCACGCAGCATGACGAATGTGGTATGTGCGAGGTATTCAGTCATGGATTTACCGTAGGCCCGGCGGCATGGTGAACAGTTGATATTGAAAGTCCGCTGTTCAGGAAATGGCTTCAAGCCAACAATTCAGTGAGTGATTTCCGGACTGGCTTCGGCGCCCCTTGCGGGGATCACACTGCACACCCAAGTCGGAAGATGCAGCAAGTCACTTAGACTCATTGTTCCGGTCAAGGAACGTAATGTCCAGTGCATTTCAGTTACGCAGTTCCCTTGACTGGTTTCGGCTTATGCTGAAGCAGCAGCGCGCCAGCAGTTTACAGGGAAAAGTCGGGTAACAGCTTGTCAACACCACAAATCGCAGGTACGTCACCGGGACGTCTCCAATGATATCCTTAGGACACTGCAGAGAACTTTGTTAAGTGGAGCTCTGCAGGCCTGCTCCACTCCCCTGCTGGAAGGGATACATTCGGTAAACAGAATGGAACCCCTGGGGACGGGGTGTGGCACACACACACACATGCAACTGACGCGGAGCGGCCAGCCAGCATGTTCTCCGCTAGCCGCTAGTGCCTAAAATATGATGCAACATAGCAAAACGTCGTGTTGTGATAGGTTTTCTGCTCCTGTCCTCTTGGGTGTCTCCTCACGAAACCTGGAAAGAAGGGACAGGCCCCTGCGAACTCCATGTCCTAGACCCGAAAACTGAGGTTTTGCAACACATCCATGCCTCTTGCGGATCGTGTGCACGATTTGATTTCCCGCATTCCAGATGGTGTCAAGCCCAACTTGTTGACAGCTCGGGGGCACTTGAAGAGTCGAGGGAGACAAGCTTTGCCAGAGCTTGGAGTGCCCTCCTACTATTGGGGGACTAATTGCCGCTTGCGCTATGCTTGATCCAGGTTGTGTAGACACATTCATTGCTACTTTGAATTTTGAAGTTCATCCCATTTCGGGACGATAAACACGACTGACATGAACTGACCACTATACAACCGGTGCCTTGTATACAGTACAATTACTGTATAGCAATCCTCCTATACATACGACCACCCTGCCAAGAAGATGGAAATGGACATTCGCGCAAGACATGCTTCTCGGAATAGTTGATTGAGGCCACCAACCAGGTTAAATTTATATGGATGAGATATTAAGCCTCATGTAAAGTAATTCATGACGCATTTGCTGGTTTGAATTGATGGCGCTTCCAAGAGCCATCGTTTGTTTTGTGGGAGGGGTGTAGTTTCATTTTTGGAGGTGATTCGCGCGTTCTCCATTGTCGCAATACCAGGCATCCATTCATCCATGTCGGCCAACTGCACCAAAGATGGCCGATGTTCTACTTCTTTTCCGTCTGGTCCCTCCTGGTCCGCTACCTTCGACCGCAATGTCATGCGTAGCATGGCGGCCGTGGTGGGTAGGGAAACCCGCGCCTTCTTTAACCTTGGCAACTTCACGGACAATGGACGGAATCTTGGTTGCATGCGCATAGTCCGAGCAGTTGGTGCCCAACTTCCCAATCCAGATACCCAAGAAGTCCTTGCTTCTTATTGAGAGGGAGCTTTCTACTGGATGAAAAGTGAGCATTTTTTTGTTCTCGGGGGACGAGTTAAGAAACCCGTGAATGGAGGCCAGCAGTGTTTAGAAGGTGCTTTTAGGGGGAAAAACGTGACATATGAGTCATTCCCCAAACTGTGAAGCTCCATCCGTGCTACATGACATCTTGCAGTGTACGCTTCTAGTGTATGCTGAAGACTTGTTGCTGGGAATCAGTACACCATAAGTACTCTGTCAGAGCCGAGCTCGACAGTTCTCCATATGTAAAGACTAGTGAACCAAAGGCCACGCTGTAGCATTTGAAGCTATTTTTGGCAGTGCTTTTGGAGAGGAATGGACGGATCATCCTGTATATCACAAGATCCACAGATCCATTTACTGACAGTCACCCGACACCAGAAACCAGAGGTCAATCGGGTATGCACTCGTTGCATTGGCTCAAGTGGAAAAAAGAGCGTGAGCGAGTACAGTTGCTCTTCATGGTAGCGGAGCCATGGCATCTTTACCAGATCCAGGATCTCCTGCAGTTGAAACTGGGACATCAGTTAGCGCTGAGCGTTTCCAAGGTTTGGAACAGCAAGTGTCCAGTTTAGCTACCATGGCTAGATCCTTGCAAGATGCTATCGGTTCGTTGGTACTTGCAGTAGAAGCATTGACCACACGTGTGAATACGCCACCACCTGTGTATGATGCACTTGAGTCAGGACCACCAGCACCAATGGTTCCTTCACCAGATGGTTTGCAATTGCCCATCCCACCTTCCGGAAGTCCACGAGATAGGAATGTTGACCCGTTGCAAGTTCAGGACCCATGGCAGAATTTCCGTCGTAATGTTCAAGACACGCCTTTTAATAATCCTGACCCAGCAAATGTCAATCTTCCTCCACCAGGGATGCAGCAGTCACCAACCGCACTTCGAGATGCTGTTGAAGTGTACAAAGGAAAGGAAGACTTGAATCCTTTCCGACGAAGTGAAAAATGGATGCCAGCTTATCCAGTTCCCCAACATGACAAATGGACCACACGACCAGAAGAAGTAGAGGGGTTCATTAGCTACATCCAAGAGCTAGCTTCATGGGCTGGATTAGGAGACAATGAATGGCCACGAGAGATCCTTTGGCCCCTTCGAAGTCCATCAGTGATTACCTGGAATCAGATGAATGCAGCACAGATTACCAGGTCCACTCGGTTACTTTCGATTTTGAAGCAAGTGTTTTCCGGTCATGCTAGGGCAAGCTTGATTTTGGGAAACTATGAATCGTCACAAAACCGAATGAACTGTTGTGGCTATGAGGGAGTTCGTTTGCTTTCACGAGAGTTTGGAATCAAGACCAGAACAGAATTGTTGTTCTTTCGCAATCGAATCACCAGTGGAACTTTCAAGTGTGCCACCATTCCCGAGACCGTTCGACAGATCCAGCATGAGTTGTTTAAGTTTGCACGCGTTCAACAATTGGTTGATCCAAGTGTGAACAGTCAACAACTGGAAATCATGGAAGCTGACCAGATTTTGATTCTTCTTCGATCGTTGCCAGATGCTTGTCGTCAATGGCTTGTTCTCAATGTTGTGCAGGAAAGCTTTCAGGCATACTCAGATGCAGCTCTGAGGTACGAAGCACAGCAGAGAGCATGGTCAGAGTTGAACCACAAGCCCATTGCACCGTTCAAGGAGAAAGGTAAAGGCAAAGGTGACAAAGGCAAAAGCAAAGGTAAAGGTAAGAGCAAGAATAATGAGCACCAGACCGAGAAGACTGAGACCCGTTCGTGCTTTGAATGTGGAAAGACAGGCCACCTTTCCAAAGATTGCCCCCAGAGATTGCAGAAGTCGATTGATGGCAAGAGCAAAGGCAAAAGAAAAGGTAAAGATAAAGGAAAAGGCAAATCCAAAGGTAAGAAAGGTAAGCGAGCAGCAGAGTTTTCCGAATCAGATGCCTCGTATGATGCATATGAAGATGATGATGCATGGTCAGAAGCAGATGAAGGAGGTCGTCTTGCAACGTTGATTGTAGGAACTCATACATGTGCCAAGGTTGTTGAACCAAAAGAGAAGAAGTCGAGCACATTGTTTGGACGATGGTTTCGTTGCATGTTCACCATCCTGTCATTGTTTTTGACATGTCTCATGATGCATTTGTGTCATCGGTATCGGTATTTCGGACAAGAGTGTTTCCATCCATTCTTTTCGTCGGCCACGGAAACTCCGATCGAAGCAGGGTATTGGCTTGTTGATTCAGGAGCTTCACGAACTGTTGTGAGTTCAGATGCATTAAGTGCATATCGCATCATTCGTGAACGATGTCTTGACAACCCACTTTCGTTCCAGACAGCGAGTGGTGATGCCATCCATGTTTCGAGAGAAGTGTTCATCGAAGTTTACTTCCGAACTCAGGTTGATTTCCAGACGGAGTATGAGAAGTGCAAGACCTTGCGCTATGAGCTTCGATGTGTCGTGGCACCAGTGCAGCATAATCTCCTTTCCGTGACGCAACTTGTGGGAAAGGGAGCTAAGTTCGAGATGAGTGGAGATGGAACATTCATCATCCTAGATGAACGAAAACAATTGATTTGCGATGTTTGGTCCGGTGTACCATGGCTTCATGCTAGTCTCAGAAATAAAGCAGTTGACATGCCTGCAGACATGGAAATAGATTCAGAAGGTTCGCAAGATACTATGCATGTTGACAAGCTGTCTAGCAGCCTCGCTTCGCCGACCGATTCGATCGCTATCAAATACTTGCCTAGTGCATTGAAGCAGAAACCAAAGATGCATGCAAGTGTTCTGTTAGGTGAAGAGGAATTTTTCAAAGCTTTGGAAGAAGAATACCCTCCACATGAGGAAGACATGGAAGACCACCCCATTCCAGCAGACTTCGAAGATGAGGAATCATCCAAAGTTGAGAAGACCCCAGAGTTCCCATCCGATTTGAAGCTGTTGAAGAAACGTGAGGAAGAAGAGCTTGTTCTCCACCGACTGCGAGGACACACGCCATTCGATGCCAGATGCATGGATTGCAAGTTGTCCAGGTCTGTCATGAGACATCCTAGAAGCAAAGAAAGTCGCAGTTCATTATTGGTACAGGCTGATTTCTTTTTCATTGGGGATTACAAATTCCTAGCTTTGTCAGAAGTGATGACTGGGCTGATTGGTTGTGCATTATGTGCCGGTGAAACAAACACGGACATTCGTGCATTTTTCAACCAGTTAGGATTGTTGGTTATGTCACCATCGGAAGCACATCTTGCGGTAGAGGTCAGAACAGATGCCGAGAAAGCAGTTGCTTCGATTTTGAAACGAGCCAACCTTCCTGTTCCCCTTCACATAAATGAAGCGGCGCCACAAAGTCACCAAACGGTAGGACATTGTGAGAGGACCGTTCGTCGTTTCAAAGAGATGATCAGTTGTTTGCAAGCAGAATTTGCGGAGTCACGGATTTGTCTTGAAAGAGACCAAAGAGGCATACCGAGCAGTGACATGTTATGTAGCCCAAACACACAACCACTTTGGCATTGGCAGTGATTTCGGAAATCGTCGATCGCCAATCCAGTTGGTCATTCAAAGAGACTGCACATTGCCCACATCCACCATGTTCGGAGCAATCGTGTTTGCAAAAGTGAGTGATCACATGGAAGGACTAGTAGAAGAAGGTTCCAGATTTGTTTTGGGTGCATACATGCATATTGCATTCGGTAGCTTTGCGCATGAAGTGTCAGTCAAATGCAAAGATGGAACAGTCAAGCAGTTCAAGACTGAAGTTCGTCCTTTGAACAAGATTTGTTGGGAGTGTTCGTATTGTCCTGACATTCTCGCAAAGGCGACAGATGATGATGCACCTGCCGGAGAGCTGGACGTCAAGGATTTGCAAGATCCTGTTCATCTGCACGTGCCTGTGTATGATCGGACAAAGTTGTTGCCACCTCCGATCGCTTGGTTGAGGTCAGAAGGTTTGACTAAGGACTGTAAAGCGTGTGATGCTATTCGAACCAAGGGTACTAGAAAAGGACATACACATAGCAGAGGATGCTTTCGTCGATATACTGACTGGGTTAAAGCACAACAAGAGAAGTTTGAGGGAAAGCCTGAAGCGGCCAAGAAATCCAGTCGAGCTGAATTGGAAGCCAAACCAAAAGATGGTTCAGTTCCGAAGATGGTAGTTCCTCCAGATGCGAAGCCATTTCGACCATCAATACCTGTTTCCTCCCCGGATCATCCAACCAAAGGTCTTAGGTATGAGAGTAAGCGTCCGCCTGGTTCGCTTCAGCCTCCAACAGTGGTTGAACAGTCACCTGAGACACCTTCTCTGCCTAGTGTACCACCTCCAGTGATTTTGCCAGAAGAAGATGTTCGGATGGATCGGGATGGGGAAGACGAGTCCGAGCCCAATCGCGTGATCGATGTCGAAATGGAACCAGCACCATTTCCACCACTTCGAGCTGACTCAGAATATGAACCAACTGAGCCTCCAGAGGATATGGCAGTTGACCCAGAGCCAGATGACATGGATATTGGAATGTTTCTTTGTCCACCGCCAGAGCATTCAGGTGCAAGTCACGGCATTCTGTTTCCAATCTTTGCGCCGAAAGGAAAGGACTTAGATGGAGTTCGTGCGTCGAAGTTTTCATTGTGTGGGACAGACATCTTTTTGATCGAACCGTCGCAAGCAGTGTCAGAAGATGGTATGACCAATTTCACTGTTGAACAGGCCATCAGAGGTCGGGAAACAGAGTTGACAGCCATGCATGATCTAGATGTAGGCGATGTTTTGGGAGAGGAGGAAGCCCTTGCATTGTGCGCTTCTCGAGGCACTCAGGCCATTCCATGCAGATGGGTTCTAACAGAGAAAGAATCCAAAGGGGAGTTGATTTGCAGGGCACGATGTGTTGCTCAGCAGATTGCTAGGCTTGAGCCGTCGGC